CCCCCCCTGCCTCCCTTGGGTACACTGAGAGAATGCTTAGAGGGAGCAACAGCGATATGAAGGAATCACAGAACGGGCGAGGCTTTCCCTCAGTGTGGGTTTCTGAGGGCTGGTGTCCAGCGGCGGATGCCAAATGGCAGCGCGACACACACGAGAGGAGCGGCAGAACAGCGCAGGAAATGGCTGGCAATGCCTTTTTGCGACGATGTGGGATCTGAGAAGGAAGCAGAGAAGATGGAAGGAGGATGCGGGATGCGGGATGTGGGAGAAGGAACAGCAACGGGGAATTAGGAGCCCCAAAACAGAGCAGCAAAGGAAGCAGCAAATGTCAAGATGCCACAAGCCAGAGAGCCAGAGAGCCAGAGAGCCCCCAATGTGCCACTGCCGCATTGAGAGTTGGGGAATTTTAAATGATAATGACGGACGGTACATGGGCCACCAGGGGAAGAGCTTAACGAATGCGTGCGAATTTCTACGAGCGTGTATCCTAAGAAGGGATTAAGGAATACCTTTGAAGCGGAAAGAATGTCGAGAATATGAGATTAGTAGACGGGATAAGGGTAAAAGAACTGAAGGGGTTACTTGGGAAGCGAAAGAAGGTCTTAAAGGAGGAAAGTAATACAAAAATGAGACGTTTTTAGGTATTTCTCAAACTAGGAGTTGGAACTGCTTCAAAATGAAAGTTTTTAATATATAAAAAAAAGCATAAATTATCTTTAGTATTATTTATTTATTTATTCATTTAAGGAAATATTGGAATTATTTGTTAAAAGTATTATATTACCAATTTATATTGGTTTAAATCAAAGTTTCCTTAAATCATACCAAAAATATTGGATATTACATTAGTTTTTAGATTTATACACAATCTTAATTCATAATTTTTATTTATTTTATTATTTTTTAAATATTTGAAATATTTAAGTCTCAGTTTTAGTAAGTTTCACTTTCCGATAACCGATTTTCTTTGTTCTTGAGCTGCTTTACATTCAAGAGTACTGGAATGAACCGAGGAATAGAATAGAACTCCAATTTCAGAATTCCCATCATCATAGATTTGCATTAAAAATCGCACTAACGACCGATTATTCCGTTAAATAACAATATTTTATGAATTTTATATTAAAATTTAATTTTTTCTTGGAAAAGCTATGCATTTTTGAAAGAAAAAGCAGGCAAGATTCATTTAACATCAAAATTATTCATTAACCGTATAATGGTCCCATCTCCAAGCCCACCTCCCACCTGCCACCTCCCACTTGATGTGCCCCAGTTAATCCATCAAATGGTTGCATGCCCCCCATCATGAGGCCAGTGAAGCATAGCGCCGCTTGAGACTCAACAGATTGCTGGGCACATTTTGAACATCCTTCAGTTCCATCTGCATCTGGAACCATTCGAGTATTCGGCAGATTAACACGTTCCTTTGGATACTAGAGAGGGGTCTTGCTGGTGGTGAGTGCAGGGGTGGGGGGACGCCCCCCGAAAGCCACAACAACTTTAATTAAGCCCTCGTCTGTGGGTGGACACTGGCCGAGAGTTCTTCCATCTATTCGCATCGCACAAAAACACAGGCACACTCGAATGTGCCACAGAGAGCGGGCCAATGCTTTTGCTGCCCCATTGAATGAACCTGAGGGTCGTCGTCCTGTTCTGTTCTGTTCTGTCCTAACTGCCAATTTACGTAAAAATGCTGTGGAACAGGATGCAAATTTAGGCCAGAGTCCTGACCAGGTGCTGTGCCGTATGTTGCTGATTTTTCATTTATATCTCTTCAAAAAGGGGAACACCTTCTCCCGGACCTTCTCCTCTGGGGACTCTGCTTTGGCGCCATCGAAGCTCTGCTTTTCAGAATCTCCTTGGAGCAGGTGGACAGATGGACCCGTAGTTTTAAGCATAACGAATTGAATTGTCATGGCAATCGATAGATACGATGTTTGCACACACACACCCACACCCACACACACCCACACACACTCATGGAGAATGGCCCCACGTCCATGGCAGCGTCCTAATGTAGGCTAAGTGGCCGGACATGTGCATATAGAGACGAGACGACGGAGGGGTACTGAAGGTGGATGAAGGTGGAACCATAAGCGAAACTGTTACCCCGGACATCACACAGTTTCTGAAACAGTGATTAGGTAGGGGAGGAAGGCCTCTATTGGGATTGTGTGAAAAGAGTAAGGCTTTAACACGGCGTATCGGCTTACTGCAGGAGAGTGGTAGGGGATTCTGAGACATATGGGGGTTTTACGACAAAAACAGGGTACTCACGAAATTTAAGGAACCGAATTATGAGACTATTATGTTTTTGCTTCTATTTTTCATCTAGAATTTTCTGGTGTTTTTCTTTTTTTGGTACTTTTTGGGAAGATTTCTGAAACAAATAATGATACTACCTAAATTAATTTTATTCACGATTTTTTGAATATTTTTTTATATTATATTCATACATAGTGGTATATATTTCTTATAGTATATTTTTAAGAAGCTTTCAGTAATCTTTTCTGTTTTTTTTTAAATTAATTTTAGATTTTTTTCTGGTTTACTTCTAATGAGTCCAATAATGATGCTAGAAATTGCTTGGGTTTCTTATCTAGTATTTTTCTGATATTTTTTCAACTATTTATCTGAAATTTTTATAAGTATTTTCTGTTTTTTTTTTTATAATTTATTTGATATCTTTTTCGGGTTTATTTCTAATGTTTGATGCATTGTTTTTCTATTTCTACTATTACTCTTGTATTTTCCAGTATTTTTATGGTATTTTTTCAAAAAAGTTTCTGATATTTTTAACAGTATTTTTTAATATTTTAGAATTTTTGTTATATTTTTATCTTAAATTTATTTTTGGTATTTAAAAAAAAGTATTTTTTGTATAGAATTTTTATAACTCAATTTCGGCATTTTTGCGGCGCCTTCATATCTCAGAGCAATAGAGACTTTCGGTTAATAGTTTTTGATATTTTTTTTTGTCAATTTTCATCAACCCATCTCTGATCTATGGATTCCAATATCCCTCCAAAAACTATCTTAATTTGAGAAAAGTATAAAAATACCTTTTACCACACCTTCACTTCAGATTGAGAGCCCATCATTTTTTCTGATGCGGAAATGGCAGGGCATTAAGACAAAAGAAAGCAAATCTCTCTCTTCCACACAAGGCCCTTTGGTCAATATTAGATGAGAGCTCCCCAAAAGCGTTCACAGAGCGTGCGGGCGGGCAGAAAAGGAAAAAATAATGCCAAAAAAGGAGACCTGTCTCCTTCCATCGCACTCCTAGGAGACCCTTATCTCCATAGCTCAAACTATGGCCCCCCCTCCCCGCCCCCTCTTGAGTTGTTTTTCCTCTATTGCTCGCACCACCTCTCGTCTCCGCCCCCCGGTGCTCTGCACCATGCCCCTTTTGCCAAATAGAATTTAAATCTGTTAAATCCTCGTACATGACAGTTTTCTGTGTGTTGAACTTTCGGTGTGTCTTCCTGTTGCCTTCTCCTTCGCCTTCGGTTCCAATCTTCCCTTCTGTGCCCTCTCTTATTTATTTTTTACTTATGGCTCGGCTTCTCGTTCCATCTCGTGTAATGCGGGATTTCATCTGTGGGATCTCTCCTCTTGTGGAGTGTGTGTGTGTGTGTGTGTGTCTGTGTTGGTGCTCAAAGATTGTTGTTGCTGCTGCTGCTTGAGGTGATTTTGATTGAGTGCGATTTGTACTTTGTGTTTCGCCTACGTGTTTCGGTTTTTTAAATAATATTTACCTCTATCTAGTGTGTGTGTGTGTGTGTGTTAGTGTCCGTGTGTGGAGGGGACTTTTGTTGTCTTTGGTTTCTGATTGCACAAGGATAGGACTTTTACTTTCGATTCGATTGTAACGGATATAACGTTTCGATATTGTTTGCTGTTTTTGCCAATTTTATATTTCAGTTTCCCAGGAACAGCCTTTGGGCTGTACACATTTATTTGGCAGGAAATGTGTTTTATTTGAGGGGCACTCAAAGGAATCATAGGTGAAAAAGTGTGGGCAGACATTTTGGGTCTTAAATTGATGGAAAAACCTTCGGATTTATGCACTAGAATATTTTAAGCAGATTTGTAATATAGAAATACTTGTAATTGCAAGTTTTTACCCATAGAAATAATACTTTTTAGAGGTTTGTACTTCAAAAACACTCTTAAGTGTAGGTTTATCCCCTTAGAAACCCTTTAAAGTAGAGTTTTATCCCAGATAGCAATCTTTTGCGGAGGTTTAGCCACCAAAAAACCCCTCAAACCCTTTTTTAATGAAGTTTACTCTCAGAAAAAGTCTCAATTTGGGGTTTTGCCTGAATTAAAGTCTCGCTAATCATCTTCTATCTGCCACATGCCAAAGGCAGGCCTCTAGAAACAATCTTTGAATCAAAACCTAAAACCAGGTCATGGATTCAGAGCCAACAGCTTTCTAAAATTCAACCAAAAACCAAAAACTACTGCAAATCGTATCTCTAGTTCAATGAAACGAAGGGGGTTAATGCACTGCAAATTATCCGATCTGCAGAACCAGTGTACACAGATCATAAATAAAGTATCTGCGCCATAAACTAAACACATTAGAGCGCCCAGCAGACCAGAGGCTGTATCTGTAGCTAGCGGCTAGGCAATCTGTGAGTACTTAATGCTAAATCGATCATGAAAGAGCGGGCGACGGACTCGCGGACACGCGGACACGCAGACTCGCGGACACGCGGTCATAAAGTCGGTCAAAGAGGGAGAATTTAACGAGTGCCATAAAACGAAAGGCGAAACAATGCTGCGAATTGGAAATTGATTTACGAGGCCCGATACCTCGGGCAAATAAAAAATATACAGTTAAATAGATCAACTGTGAAATTAACACCTGACGACGCATGCCACACAAGAATGGAATGGGGCTGGGGCATGGGCTGGAATTTGCCACTATAAAAGTCACCAGAATCTCAAGTTTGAGGCACAGTCAACCACTGGAGCTATCAACGAAGAGAACCATGAGAATCCTAAGCATTTGTGTGGTGTTTGCAGCCTTTGTGGCCTTGAGTGCAGCCGAGCATGGCTCTGGCACGAAGAACAGAAGGGAAAGTGGTAAGAAATCCATGGAGATCCATGATTGAGAAGCGTTTTCTCAACTCTTTCCTGCTTCCTTTAGCCCTGGACAAGATCGTGCCCCGTCTGTTGTGGAACCTGCGACGTGGCGACAACAACCAGGAGAGTCACAGGCAGCAGCCACAAGTCATCATTGTGCAGCAGCCATCCTCGAACTCGGAGGATGACAGGCATCACCATCATCAGCAGCACCATCCCCACTATCCCTACTATCCGTACTACCCGGCACCACCACAGACGCGTCCGCCGCAGCCACAGTTCCCGGGAATGGAGTATCTGGGCACCGGGAGCGGAGGTCCCACGTTCTTGATCGTGAACCCCAACAACATGCAGGGCATTTATCTGCCCAGTTCCGGCAACAGCTCGAACACGACGAGTGCCAGGAGGAGTGCTTTTGCGCCATCGTTTGCCGATCTTTTGCAGGGCCTGAACTTGAACGATCTGGCAGATGGAAGTCTCTTTGAAGACGACACCGAGGTGGTGGAGGCCGCAGAGGAGGCAAGTCCGGATGCCCCTGCTGTTGAGAACGAACGTCCAGCAGTTTCTGCGGCTGCCCAGGAGGATGATCACGATGGAGATCTACTCAGCGAGGACGAAATCGATGCCTTGGACCGTCAGAACAATCGTGGCTTGAGCCCCAAGCTTCTGTTCTCGATGCTCATGCAGGACAAGCGTCGCAGGCGCATCCAGGAGGTCCTGGCCGGCATTTACCTGAGGAACACTCATCTGAATAGAAAGTGAGCCTTCCAGCTTCGAGTGAATTGAACAAATTGAAATATTTTGAGAGGCAGAGAATAAACAGAGAAGAAGCGAATAAAAACCTTCGCCCAAAAAACACACACAAAACTTCTCTCCTTTCTCTTCATTATGGGGCCGCACTTTATCATAGTTCCCTGGAGAAATCTAAGCCGAAACTATCCTTCGCAAGGACCAGGTCCTCATGCTCCTGCTCCTTGTCTCAGCAGTTTTCTGGCTCTTTGTTTGCTTCTGTTGCTGCAACCATTTTCCCGTGGATTGTTACGACTTTCAGGAGTTTCGGACTAGCACTAAAATAATCTGCAACTGCAGTTGAAATATTTATTTGCAATTCCCCAAACTAACGTGTGCTACAATCCTCATCCTCTGGAAAGAGGAGCATAAAAAAGGGAATTGTTGCCACCGCACGACAGGTGGCAAAGGGAAAAGGAGCGTCAGGTGGGGCGATGGCGATGGCGATGGCTGTGTGGCAGGCAGCAGACAGTAAAAGTTCTACCGAGAGATGAGCAGCAGCAGCAGCTGCAGTTATTGTTTTAAGGCGAAGCAACTTTTCCAATGAGCAAAACCCAGGGACTATAGAACTTTACAAATGTTTGTCGGGGCACAGGACTCTTGCGAAAAGTACTTCCGAGGGATCTAATGAGTGTTAGAGGTTGCTTTTGGGATAGCAATTTGGAATGTAGCAAGTATTTCAATGAAGGCACATGATAAATGTTAGTTTTACTACAAATGGTGACCCCAACGCTTTGGAAAATAACTACCAGAGTTTTTCCCTGTGAGTATCATCTGTTGAACTCTTGAAGTTTATATCCGGAGGATATATGTGTATAATACTGCATTCATACAAAATTTGTATACCAATTGGTGACCCCGACTAGGTCAACAGACTTGGCATTTGAAGATTTCAATCATTCAGAAGACTTTATTGGTGAAGAATACACACGTAAGACTTATATTTCATCAAAATTGTATCTTTTTTTTTTACCCAAATGGATTTTTGGCTCAATTGGTGACCCCGATTCCGCAGAAAACCTTCAGATTGGCTGTTTTAAGAGTTTCTTTGCACATATTTTCTGTTATTGCAAATTTAGCAATAATTTTAGCTCTTATTCATCTTTATCTTGATCTTTAAACATATTTTTGGCTTTTCTTATTCCTTTTCCTCTTCATACAAATAGTTTTCTTTAAAAAACACTTTAAGTAAATCCGACGCCTTGCTGAAGCCTCCGCCTTGTGCCTCAGCTATGCCCGAAAACCTGAACCCCAAAAATGCCTTTACCTTCAAACCTCAGGAGTTGGCTGCCGTTTTCATTGTTGCTACCGGCACTAGCTTCATCTCCTGCTCCTGCTCCATCTCCTGCTCCATCTCCAGACCGTCCGCTGCTCAAACCATGAAATAAGATAGAAAGCAGGAAAAGTGCAGACGAAAAAAGATGCCAGGTGCTGGCGGAGCAAACTGTTCGTCCCCTTCCAGGAGTCGTTTTTCGTTTCGTCGGAAGGAGTCTGCGACTCCTGGCTCCTATATAATTTTTTGTTGCCAGCCTGTCTGGGTGGTGGTTGTCCTGCGGCAGGCGGGGAGCTTGTTTGAAATTTGACGTGTGTGTAGTTTGTGCTGACCAGAAGGCGTCGGAAGGCAGTGGCTGGCAACCCTTGAAGCGCCAGAGTGTGGGACGAAAACCCTGGCCAAAAGGTATGCCTGGCGCCTGCACTTATTTTTGCAAATTTATATGCAAGCTGCTGTTGCAACGGCAGCTCCAAAAATGTTCGTTTCAATTTCTCTTTTTTGTTCTTTTTTTTTATTTTTTCTCCGGTGCACGGCTTCCCCTAACAAATTGATGAATGTCTCGGTCTCTGGTCCTGCGACTGGGGAACGCTCTTTGTTCGGGTTCTGGCAGGGAATTCTGGACAAACTTTAGCAAGATGAATGTTTGCCCAGGCAAATGACAGGCAGCCAGCAAACGAGAGCTAGCAAGCGAGTGGCTTCCATCTTGATTTTTGAGTCCATAATGACAGGAGTGCAGTGCCAGAGGAGTCGTAATCTATGGGGCTCGTAGGCCTTGTAATTGGTTCAAGAGCTCAAAAGGAGTAGCCACACTCGAGACTGCCATACGGAATAGCAGTATTTGGGCTTGGAGTTGGATGCGTGAGAACTGGGCTCAGAGATCAGAGAGATTGTTTTAGGATCGTGCGAGAATTAATGGTATTCTCAATCCCTTACGATTATTGAATGATTCCAGTCTATGCACATGATATTTATTCTATTTAAGATACTTTTGAGTATCGAAGGTATGATATATCTTCAGAGACCTCTCTCTTTTCCATTATTTCAAGGTTTTAGACTCAAATATGACATTAAGCCTAATTTCTAGGGTAAAACCTTTGCAAATTACATTCTAATGGTTCCATTTAGGGATTATATGATAGTAAATATTCCTCAAAGCAACTATGAAACTTATTTAATCCCAAAGCCCATCCCTATTAAAAAAGAAATCTTTAAAAATAATAATAAAAATATTTAGTTTATTTTATAATTCAAAATAATAATGAAAAATAATATAAAACTCTGATAAAATAATATTAAAAATAGTAACAATATTTTATGCAAATCTTAAACGAATAAGACCCAGCAGAAGCCATTTTGAAGACCTGCCTGATCCTGTTGGACCATACCCATCCCTTTCGAGATCACTCGAAAGATCCCACAAACGATATTCATCGCTCGCCCGAAGCCCATCCCTAAGCCTTGCACATCGCCACTCCGAGGGCCGAAGAAAAGAGCGACAGGACAAAAAGGCCATCAAAGGCAACGTGAAGGATAAGCGTAGGACGGAAGCGGAGGACGAAGAGCGGAGATAAGCGGAGGAGTAGAGGTGCCTCCTCCATGGTCTCGGTTTGCAATTTTACAAATGGATTTGTTGTAATTTCTTTTGCCACAGCACCTGATGCTCACATAGTCCGTGCCACGTACCACGTCGTCGTCGTCGTAGTGGTAGTGCAAACAGAGAGGCGGATAAAGAAAGCAGAGCAAAACAGCAGGCAAACAAAATGGAATAGAAAACCAGAAAACACTAAAACGAAGGAACATCGCCGCCACAGAGCGAACAACTTTTACACTTTACACATTTTCACATATGAAAATATATTTTTTTTGTGTGCAAGTTTTTATCACTAGCCCGCCCATTCCCCCACCCCCGCCCATTCCATTGAGAGAGGGGCACAAAACATTTATGGGATTTGTGTTTGCCAGACATGTTTGCATTTTGTATATGCGATATGTTTGAAAATCCCCTCCGTTCCCCTCGTTTTGTGTGTTTCTGCTGCCATTTCGTGTGGCGAAAGCCAAAGGATACCAGAGGCACAGGAGCCCGGAGGATGGTAGTCTTTTTTCCATCTTTATTTGCCCAGAGGTAAGAGCATGGGTGTGGCGCTGTGTCTGCGTCTGCTCTGAGGTTTGTAAAGTTTTTCCATTCCCACATATGTAGATATATTATAATGGGGGAAAATGTTTGCTCCTCACATACTCGGACGAGCAGTAGGCAGGAAGTTAATGTGGAATATGATTAGCCCCATGAATATTCCAAGCTCGGGGGAGCATGGACTCTCTTTGGAGAGTGAATCACAGTGCGGATTGGAGTGAATTTGGAACCTTCCTGAACTTCATTTCACAGATACGCAATATCTACATACTTTGAAGGCTTTTTAATGCCACAAAATACTAATTAAAACTAAGGGTGGACCAATGATCTATCTATGATCCAATCCCTCCATTTAATGGCTTCCAAAAATCCTCTTTGAACCTTCCTGAACTTCATTTCACAGGACTATGATCTTCAAATAAATATCCATAAGATATACATACTTTGAAGGCTTGATGGATAGAACTATCTATGTATCTATGTATGATCAAATCCCTCCATTTAATGGCTCCACAAGTACTATTTTTTAACCGCTTTAACCCTTCCACAATTTCCCTTGGACTTTCCCCAACTCTATTTTTTTTCTGTTGCCTTTCTCCCATTTAAAAAACTTCTTCTGTCTGGCCAAAAGGCCTTGGCCCCCGATGACAAATTAGCACTTTGCGTGTCACTTTTATTGCGCTCCCTTTCAGCAGCTGCTGCTGCTTGCAGGCCAGAACGGAACCGAAAGTTCTCTATTTGTGTATAAACGAGAGGGGAGAGTATTCATTATTAATATCCAACGAGAGTCCGAGTCGACCCCAAGAGCCACCATAATGACCGCAAAACTCGGACTCTCTGACCATCAGACGCCGCGCCGCCCCGCCGCCCTGCCGCCCCGCCGCCCCCTGGCCGCCCCTCTCCAGGGACCTGTTTGTTGTCGTCTGGCGCTGGCCGCCTTACAAATGACTTTTATTCACGTTAGCGGCAGCGTTCGCGTCCGTCGCCAACTTAAGTCATAATTTTCCATCATAATTTTCCTACCATTTTTTTTTCTTTTTTCTCTTTTTTTTCTATTTATTGTTTTGTTTGTTTCTTGTGTCCTGTGCTTTCATGTCCTTGTTCTGGTTGATTAGTTCTCTGCTGTCGCCGTTTCTTGGGTTCTTGGAATGTCCTTTTTCGTATTTAACTTTGGCCATAAGCAAATTGAGGTTATGTTGACTTTGTTTTTAGTGGCGCGTCTCTGCTTTTGTTGTGATTTATGCTTGGCATTTCTCCACATTTGATTGATGTGCCTCGATAGATTGTTGATTGTTGATTGAGTGTTAAATGTTACAGTTTTTGGTGTGGGTAAATGGGGGTGGGGGGGTGGCTTTTATGGAGCAATTTTATGTGTTTTTAAATCTCAAAATATCTTTAAGAATTCCCACAAAAAAAACTCTTTCGTTTCGCCTTGCCCACACTCGAAATAAAAGCCCCAAAAAAACACTAAACACAAAATAACAAAAAAAAAAAAACCTGTTCGCCCCACATCCAAGGCGGTAATAAAATTATATAAAAATCGCTGACGTCCCACAATAAATTCCGACTTGC